TAGGGATGATATGTATAAAATGTATCACTAAATGTGTCACTAAACAAGGCAAGCACAGCTGACTCCCTACATCGCATGCAACGAGAAGTTTATGCTTCTTCTCAATGAATAACTGAGAGAGAACACCATCTATCCAAACATAAATAAGGACATCTACATGCAGACTGGACTTGTGAGAAACAGTAAGGCCCCCCACCTTCAACAGGGGAAAATAAATGAGGTCGCTTTTAAAAAGACACTATAAAATCAAAATGAGAGCAGAGCAGAAGAGTTCTTCTCAACCTGGGCGGTGTCCAGCCAGCACACTGGGGCAGGGAGGGGCAGGTGAGGGGCTCTCGCTACTACAACCTCTGGTCAGGAAGTGGAGGCATCTGGCTCTCAGAAATTGAGGCCAAACATTAAATCTGTAAACAGATCACTCCTGAAGTGATTCCATATTTATACGAGAAGCTTTCCATTTTAATTTTCCTATATGACCTCCTTAAGAACAAAATATATCAGTCAGGGTGAAGGTTGTGTCCACTTAATAGTTCTATTTCTCATTCCGAGTCAACACATCTACATTTGATTCACAGAGCAGCTTCTCCTGAGCTTTGGTAGGAGAAACCAGTAGAAGGAGGATGGGTGGTAGGTAGGAGGGGAGGGGCGCTGTCGTGCTGGTCCCCGAAGCCTGTCCTTGCAAGTGCTAGTTCTTAACAAGCTAAAAAAGATAAGGACAATAGTGTGAATTTTTCACAAAGTTAATTTTATTCTATTCTGAGATTATGCATCTCAATTTTTTAATACTAAAATATCCTTCTTTGTATGAAATTACAGTAATTGTGGACGATGTTCTATTTAAGGTCCTCGCCTGGCAAAATATAAAGCTGGCAAACCTATGGTTCCCAAGTCCCAACATTTTTTTTCAGATGTCACTGATTTGTGACTCACAAATTCTAGAAACCACGAGGTTAACGGATAGGTAATGAAGAACAAAGCAGGAGAGAGTGACTCCAAGCTGTTTAGAGGAATCAAGGGTACCATTCCCTTGAGAAATGTACCAGAAGCTCTGGGAAGAATTTTCAAACTACATGTGACAAACTACAGAAGGGCATCTCATTGGTTCTGAGATGGCTTCTAACCCAACAGTGGAGGCTCTTCTTGCTTTTCCCCAGAGACTACAGAAGAGAAGCTAGTAAAACAGGAGGAGAAGAAACATACAGGAATGAGATCCTCTTCCTCCGTGCTGCCTGACCGAGAAGAAAACGTCACCTTTTAAAGACAGGTCTTTGCTTACTTGAAAGACCTAAGGCGCGAAGTGTACACATAATGCAATACATATCTGCCTTAACTGTTAAATTGTACGCCTGAAACTTACTGGATTTCCTTAACCAATGTTTCCTTAACCAATGGAACCCAAAAAAAAAAAAAAAGAAAAAAGAAAAAGGAAAAAAAAAAAAAAAAAAAAAAAAAAAAAAAAAAAAAAAGACCTAAGGCTTTAAGATAACTTTGGAGACAAGAAAATTTTTGGCAGCGATAAAAATCTCAATTTGAGATACAACAACACATTCAGAAATACAACTCCCCCATCATTCCCCAGCACAGAATATATTTATATCATAGACACAAAGCATGTGTGTGGAAAACATGTGCATATATAGAAATGTAAAAATATAGTCACACAGATGTACCTAATTATGGATAAATACATTAACTGAGCAACACAGAGACAGATGCCAACATGTGTCCAAAGAAACACAGACCCAGAAGTCCCCCCATGGCCCACCATATCTTCCTGCAGTGTGAGCCAGCTGGGTTCCAAAAGAAATATGAATAATGTCCATGACATTGCAATCATTATATATACATATATATTCATTCCTTCTTCAACTGTAATAAGGAGTAATAGGAAAATGGGTAGATTTCCATTCCAATAAACCAACTACTGTTTTACCTAATTCATTTACCTGGATTAGAGTCCCTGAGTGGCCATTAATTAATTAAACCATCAGTTCATTTCACAAGTTGTAAACTTCACAGAAGGAAATCCACTTTCTGTCCTCACAAGTGGAAACAAGATAATCAGGATAAAGGATTCAGAAAAACTGCACAAAGGTTATGAGCACCTACGTGCCAGACAGGGCAAGCGGGGAAAGAGCGGTGGTTCTCACTACAGATGAAAATCTGAGCTTTCCGACCCTCTAGTGGCTGTACAAGGGCCCCGGGCTGTGTGAGAATGACCTAGACCATGAGGGCGTCCTCCCATGAGCGGCTTACTGTTATGTCCCAGGACGCCTTAGAGGTGATCATTCCTACATGTGCCATGACGTGAAATACAGGGAAGCACTGATCTAAGCTGACAGTTCCCGAACATGTGCTGAGATGGCTGCATGGGAGTCAAAATAAAAATGCCTGGGTTCTCCTTGCACAGATCCCGAGTCAGAGGACCTGGAGAGAAGCCTAGGAATCTGTATTTTAATATCAGATGATTCTAATGAGTAATCAAATCTGTAAACCAGAGATCTAAACCATCTGCTCCAAGGTTAAAATAAACATTCGTCAATAAATTTGGCTAACTCAGCAACACCACTGAAAAATGGAAGTAAAAACTTTCTGTGCTCGCGAGTGGATGAGCTCTTTAGGGCGGAGGTGAGATCTGGTGTGGGGAGCCACAGATACAGACGCTCGCCCTGAGTGAAGAAGAGCATGTGGCGTGCCGAATGGATGAGCAAAAGGAGGGCTGGCCTGAAACTGGACAGAACACAGGGAAAGCAAATCACAAAACCGAAGAAAAGAGAGTGCTCAGCCAAGTAACGGGAGGTTAATAAAAAAGTTTAGGTTTACCATATTCTGTGTTGAGGCCCCATAATTTCACTTTATTAGCTTCATACTGGGCTTTTTTCTTTAACCGACAAGCCCTGTGGAAGGAAGGAGCGATTAGTTCTCTTTTTGCTGTCAGACGTTTCCTAACAGCATCCCGAAACCACTGCCTACTGGTGTTTAAGTAACTCAGTTACCAAAAAAACACGCAATATAATCATTCATCCAAACTAATCTAAAAAATTTTGAGCACGTATTCAAAAATAAAGCTCTGACCAGTACACCAAAATAAACAAAACTGACAATACCAAATGTTGTAGAGGATGTGAAATAAGCCGACCCCTCACACGTTGCTGGTGGGGACGTAGATCAGTACAAATAGCTACTTTGGAAAATAGTCATTTTTTTAAGAACAAATTTACTTTATTACTTTGAAAACAGCTACTTTGGCAATTACTTATAAAATTCAACATATACTCCTGGGTATGTACCCAAGAGATATGAAAACTTATGTTCACACAAACACCTTTAAGTGCATGTTTATGACGGCTTTATTCATAATTGCCAAAAACTAGAAACAACTCAAATGTCCTTCAACTGATGAATGGATCAACTGTAGTATAGCCCTACAAAGGTCAGCAATAAAAAGGAACAAACGACTAACCCTCACCACGTGAATGAATCTCAAATGCATCATGTCAAATCAAAGAACTCAGACTCCAAAGGCTACATATAATATGATTCCACCTACATGACATTCTAGAAAATGCAAAACTGTAGGGACGGAAAACAGATCGGTAGCGGTGAGGGGTGAGGAGCCGGAACAGGGGTTTACTTTTACAAAGAGGCATGAGGAAATTTTTGAAGGTGATGAAAACGTTCGCCATCTTGACTGAGGTGGTGGCTCTATGATTGGATATGTCTGTCAAAGCTCATGGAAGTGTACATTAAAAAGGATGACTTTTAACTACTACAAAACAAACGAAAAACAAAGCTAAAATAATAAAAATTTTCACCGTTGTACTATAATGGACTCGAATTCGCCTCTCCCCTTTAAAAACTTTTTCCATCAAGCATAAATACAGTCTCTTACTTTCAAAGGAAAAATGATAATACTCTCACTGTAGTATTTATAAAAGTACATTTCTGAGCAAATGGCTAAGGGCCAGATGAGCGGTAAAAGCTCACTGGAAGTCTAACTTCACCTCCTAGACTTTATTCCCACGAGTGAACATGACTAGCATTTACCTGGAAGCCAGCTTATTTTTTTCCTTCCTTGACCTTGGCCGGGCTGTTAAGGGAAGCTCACTGACTGGAGTCAGGTCACTAATCACCTTATTCAGTTTCCGAAGTTCATTGCCTATCTGCAGTAGTTTTTTAGGATTTGGAGTCAGGTCTTCTACATCGGTTCTCCGTGACTTCTTTACTGCATATTTCCCTATAGAGGGTTTAAAAGATGTTTAAGTTAGATCATTTTATTTAACAAGAGATACATGTTCTACAGCCATATTTTAAAACCACGATACTCTTTCAGAAGTCTCAGAATGTTAGCAACCTATGCTAGAAGGGCGAGCCTCCTCTCCTTCCCACCTTGTGACTGCAAGAAATGGGGGTGATGAGGCACAGCTCCAACCTTTTCCGAGCCCTTCTCTGCCTCAGGGTTTCTGGCCCCAGTATGACAGATTCTTAATTATTTGCATGGCAGTGATAAGCATCTCAAACTTTAGGGCTGGAGTGCAAGTTCACCTGCACACAAAAATCAGGGCTATGGTATAATATACGGTCAGGAAAAGTTTGGAGATCTTTCCCAAACCAAGATGTTTTGATGCTATGACTGAAAGCTTGTCAAATATATATCTATAGATATATAGAGAGAGATGTAGAAATATAGAGATAGAGATAGATATAATTTTCCCCTTGTGTTGGACTCAAAAGTCCAACGACCAAGCATTGCCTTTTTTGAAAGCTCTTCCTCAGTTAGTCTGATGAATAACATTACAGAAGACTCCAGGGTCTTGCCCTATCACTGCGGGCAGGAGAGCTGGCTCTGCCCTCAGGTATAATACACCAAACAACTCTCCTGGTACTCTCCACATGCCATCTGGACCTATTTATTGGACCTGTCTTTTTATTTCTGATAGAAAACTGATCTGAAGGCAAAAACTAGGTTTTTATTCACTGAGGGATAGTACAGCAGCCAGCGGAAGGGGAAAATGAGACACAAATACACTTCTGATACAATTCCAGTGTCAAAATGCTTAGCAACTGAAATCTGTAGCTAAGTGTCTACTACGCTGCGTATTGAGCACCAAACTTACTATCGCCCTCCCTTTTGGATGAATGTAAAAATATGGAACAGACTTTAGATTAATGGAAAAATAGTATTTACGCAGAAAAATTCTACTTAATTACATCTGCCTGGGTTCACATTTCAAAATCTGATCTCCCTAAGATTACAAACTTCTGCCTCCGACTCTTCCACTCGTCTCTCCTCTTCCTTTCTTTTCGTCCCCTTCCTCTTTTCTCCCCATCTCCATTTGATCCCAATCTCCCCATTTATAATTAGGCCTGGAGACTGGACGAGAATGGAAGAGAATGCTGGAGCCCATTCTCTTTCTCCCCAGCCCTTCTGGTTTGCAGCAACTGTGGCAGATCAGGAATCAGCAATCTCCTGATCATTCCCCGGGCAGGGTAAGTGGAATAAGAGTGATTAGAAATGAACAGTTTTTACACGGGCCCTCCTCCCTCTTTAGGCGATGGCTCTCAACACTGGTAAAAGCTATTTGTGAGTGAACAGCGGTCACAGCACACACACAGCAGGTCTACTGTTCCCCTCTCCAGTCTGTTAGAAAAGGATGAACACCTACATACAATGGGTAAGCATTATGGTTTAGTATCTCTAAGATGACACGAAACATCTGACTGCAGTCTCCTCTTACCATGATGTAAGCCATTTTTCTGATACATATTACTCGGCAAGGTGTCTCGGTTCCATTCGGATGGCCTGAGCATCCTCTCTTGCTGTGATGGTGTGAGTTGTTCACTATATTCCCAGAAGTACCTTCTTTTGCCTCTCTTCCGAGAGGATATTGAAGTCATCTCTTTCAAGTCTTCCACGGAATCATTTTCATAGCCTTAAAAAAAGAAATCCCCCCCCATAATTTTTAAGTTTTATAAATTTCAATAAACCAATCAGAACAAGAGATCCCTTCTATTTGTACTTGATACATTCCCTTTCATCTGAAAACATCATTGTTTATTATTGGCATGTCAAAGATAATAAACCAGGTCCATAAAATAACTTTTAATATAGAAATCTCTAACTCATAAAATATGCAGAGATCAAAAAACATAGACAACCACACTGTTTATCTTCCTGGGGTTTCTCTTTGGTTTTTTCTAAGTTAATACATGACACTTTGTATCTTCACATAGGATTGAGAGAAAATACAGCAATGTCGAAAGCACCAGGAGATAATGGTACTTAGCCACTATACTGTGATCTTATAAATGTCTTCTTTCTAATATTCATGCATCTGAAACAGCCCCCAGACAGAGAGCTGTGTGCGCTTCTGGGATGGTACCCTAACACGCTGCGGTGGTTTCCTTCCCATCTCCCACCCTACCTCTTTCGTAAAAGAATAAAAATTACAGTTCTTACATAGGTTTTCAAATTAAAAACTCATATGCCTTGTCTACTTAATATTTAACTGGAAGGAATTTGCATTTACTTCATTTTTTAAGAAATCATTTTCCTTACTAATGGGAGGTGTCAGAAAATCTTTAATTCTGAGCTGCTAGAACTCTCGGTCAGATCCACTACAGGATGACCTGCCAATCTCAAATGCCCTCAGGGAAAGCCCATCTTAGACATCCTCCAGGTATGGCAGTAGGCGCAAGGGGAAGCAGGAACGGGCCGAGCGCAGGGCGTCCGCAGCCCTAAATGAAGTGGGCCAGGAGAAAGCCAGCTAGGCTTGTGCAGCACCGGCCAAGCAAAATGACGACTTTCCCTCCTAAACATATGACTCCTCTGGAACTGACGCTAAGAAAGTGATGACAGTCTACGGCCATGCCACCCTGAACGTGCCAGATCTCGTCCGATCTCGGAAGCTAAGCAGGGTCGGGCTGCCATCGGTGGAAAAAAAAATAATAAAAGTGATGACATCTGTGCGTTTGGGGAAAATATTAGAATTTTATCAGGTTTTCTTCAGATTAAGAATTAATTAGGACTATGATTCCATTTATATGACATTCTGGAAAAAGCAAAACCGTAGGGACAAAGTGGTTTCCAGGAGTTCGGAGTGGAGAGAGGGGCTGTCATAAATTCACCGGAACATACACCGACGCCACATACAATGGACTGGTTAGTTAAGATCAGCCACCTTTCAATACAGACACCATCGTGATCCAGCAGAATGCAGAAAAATTATATTCCCAGACCACGGGTCTAGCACTTAAGGTAATTAACATTCCTCAAAGTATATTCTAAGGAACACTCTTCCTACTGACTTCACCCCCCCCAAGTAAGTTCTATGAAACTCTCATCCTGCATCTCTCTTGCCATAGGACACACAGCACACTAAAGACAGAAATCACGACAGTAAAGAAACCTGCTCGACTCTAAGTTCCGTGGTGACAAGGATCGTGCCTATTCTGTTCATCTCTGCACAGCTAATACCTAATACACACAGTGCCTGACACAAAAGGGGCGCTTGAAAACATTTTTTTAGCAAATCGATGATTTGTTTAATGCGGCCGTTCCCATGGAGACTTTTCCCTTTTCTTTCCATGTGATGGTCCATCACACTGATCTAACTCGTTCCTCCTTGACACAACTTTCAAAAGGAAGTCAAAAGGCTCATTTACTGCCTAAAATTCCAGTCACACATCTCTGGGTAGTGAGGACTACAGCCGCTAAGCTGGTAAAGTCCATTGTAAAAGTGTTTAGCAGGGATTACAAAATAATCTCTCATCCTGGGGGCCCGATTCTTACTCTTACAACCGTGTCATTTCGTGACCCCAGCAGTTGTAGCCTTTCCACAGAAAAGGCTCTATTAAAACTCGGGAGCCAGTCCAGAATAGGGACTGATACTCCATTTTACACCTTTCCTGGAGCTTTGTAGGCTCGGGCACTGGTGTAGCAAACTGCCAAGAACCAGCATCAGGGGAGCAAGGCATCACAAAAGGGCCTTTGTAAACCGTCAGCCGTGCATCAGACCAATCAACCCACTCTAAAACCAGCACGCTGAAGAAACTATAACCATCCCCATTCTTCTGCTTCAAAGAACTTCTTCCTGCTTCTCACCAAGAATTCACTTTTGTATTCCTAAAGTTGCTGGTTTAGCTCTTTCAAGAAAAATGGAAATTTTCGTTAGCAAATGTGAATAAAGCTCAAATGACAACCACAAAATTGTGCTGATTTCGTGGTTAAAGAATGCCATTCATTAACGTTTGTGAGAATTGTCCAAGTAATACTAACCAAAGAGGTTTCGCTTCAAGTCAACTGGCAGTGAGTGAATTAAATGCCATCCATCTAGCATCGTTAAGTGGTGCCAAGAGGAGAGCCTCGCCATGCCGAGTGCCAGCTGATCCATCCCTATTTTAAAGCAGCGTTGGGTGCTCGACGCCAGCAGCAGGAGAACGTGACGTGACAAGACAACACCAACTGTAACACTGGTTCCCCCTCCAAATCAGAGTCAAAAGGCTGAGGAAATGGAGATGAGGGCCAGCGTGCCAAGTGCTCTCTCTCTTCACGGGCCTACTCGCCTCTCAGCACATTTATCTACCTGAATCCGAGTTTAAAAGATCGAGGATGAATTTAAACTGGAGGCAAAAGTCGAAGAAAAGCAAAACTAAAACCGGAAGTGGGGTAGACAGTATAGTCCTTGCCTGGCTGGTGATGGTGGGATTTACTTTCTCTGATTTATATGGTCCTTTAAGCACCAACTGGTAAAGCCAAGTCCTTCCCCACACTTTCCATTTCCCTTAGTTATTACCCATCTCCTCTGTCTCCCCGCTCCCTACCCTCCTGTCCTAACCTTCTGTCCTAACCCTAAACAAGGACTCGGGGGAACAGGGCTGAGCTGCGGCCTCTAAGGACCACCCACAGAGACAGCACTCTCATCTTCCTCTGGGACAGGACTAAACAACTTACCAGAGCTACAAAGACAACTTTCCTTAAACATCTCAAAGCAGATTTTATTCATTTGTTGCGATAAAAATTTTCCTAAGTAGAAAAGACAATTGTTTTATCTAGACTACACAGAGTTCAAAAGGAAACCGAAGAAAGGGCGAAAGCCCTTCTCTGCACTAAAGTACCCTGTCCTATTTGCAACTCCACCCAAGTCACACAACTTGGTCGAATCGAACACGGAAATCCAAGCATTTGTGTAACGGAAAGATTGCAGTAAAGGAGTCTTTCAGCAATAACAGTGCTTAAGTGCCTACAATACAGCTACTGTGTCTTCAATAACTTCCCAAAACTTAAACACCAATGTTCATACTGCTGGAAATTCCGGCAATCGTCATAACAAAAGGGATGGGGTGTTTTTATTTTTTTGACAATTTACAAGGGTTTTTTTTTTTAATAGCTTAGTTTTTTAGGTACACGGCACAGTATCAACAGTATCTCTGAAGAACATAACTTCTGCTTAAACTTGAAGCTCTCCACTTCTTTGTACGTTTTAAACTGTGTGCCACTCGGCGATACCATTTTTCATAAATAAACTGCACAAGCCAACAGCAGCAACGGCCCAGGCATCTAAATGCTGAGTGAATCAGTTCCCTACAGGTTTCATTTTCTTTCTCCCTTTTATTTGAAAGCACTGTATATAAATAAAGCAGTCTCCTTCATGCTCATTAAATTATTGCATGCATTTTTCTTAAATGGAAAAATACTGTGCGGATGAAAGATGCAGCAGACACAAAGAAAAAGCTCTCTTTTGCATTATTCATTAAGTAGGCTTTGTGGGTTACAGGCATGAGTAATATAAACCGTCATCACTTGGCTCACCATTCTAGGGACTCCTAACTTACCTCAACTGTAATAGAGGGACATGGGCATAAATAGGAATGTTTTTAAGCCAATCAATTCTTGGCCTCTTTGCACAGCTGCTCAAGAGAGTGACAAATCAGGTCACTTAACATAAAACGAATTAAGAAGTAGCTCTCGAGGAATCGGCATAGGAACCCACTACATGAGCAAAAGTGATTATTTAGAGCTGTGGGAAGAGAAACAACCAACCGCATATCCGAGCCAAGATATTAAGTCATTTAATCCCCAAACCAAGACAGAGAGAGCATCCGCAGCGAAACCTTCTCTTTCCAGACAGCAGCGGAAAGGTCCGTCTGGTGAGACTCCAAGCATTTCGATACCTGGTTCAGAGAAAGTGTCGCTGATGTCATCATCCTTGTCATCTTCATAATCCTCTTCCTCTTCCTCCTCCTCCTCGTTCTCAGAGAGCTCGTGCTCACTGCCGAATCCTTCGTCGTGGTCCTCGTCGTCGACATCCTCGTCGTCGTCGTCCTCCTCCTCGGGACTGCATTTGGCTGGCTGTTCACCCAAGTTGTCGGACACAAAAAGGGAGTAATTGTGCTCTTCTTTTTTCTGGGATGAATCTGAGACAGATGTGCTGGCAGAAAGGCTGCTACTCTCTCCTGCTGCAATTGACCCAGGACCCTCCTGGGGCAGCGGGCTGAGTAATAGTTCCTGGGTTTCTTTAAAAGGCAAGGCGGGAGTGGCATGACCCTGAAGAGGCTCCACCCCTTTCCTCTCGGGTCTCTTTGCTACGGCCCCACAGTAGCAGGTGTTCTCCTTGGCCGCGTCTGCGTGAGCCTGGCTCAAGGACGGCCGGCTCTGCTGCACGGGGTTGATCTTTACTTTTGCCTTTTTGACATAGTCTTTACATTCGACGTGAAAGTTCACCTTTTCAGGATGATACATGTTGGTCTTCACCATGATTTGTGTGCTTGAAGTGGGTTTGCTTGCTTTTTGGACACAGTCTGACAAAGGGACCTCAGCCTGAAGAGTCTTAGAAGAACACACGGGGGCAGCTGCTCTGCTTGTGATCTTTTTACCAGGGAATGAAGAGGGCAAGGGATTCTGTTTGACACTGAAAAGTGAATCCGGGTAATAAAGGGAATCAGAAACAGACTGGGAATCCTCGCTATTAAGCTGGGCCAAAGTCGGGGTTTTACTTATGACCTCTTCATCTTGGTAAGGGCTAGAAAAGTCATCAAGACCCAAGTAATCCACTTCTTTTGTTCCCCAGATGTCACAGCTGGTTAGTTTGGTGTACTTTGTTAAGTCTTCACAGTACGTATCCCACTGTTCCCAGTTTGAGGTTAAGGCGCCCTCGTTATCCAGGACATCTGTGAAAGACTCCAGATTTTCAATGTCTTTGCAGTCCTCCAAAGATAGGAAGTTGTCTCTAGGATTCTGCTGGTAGTTCATCTCTCTATCCTGAGAAAGGTTTAGAAGAAGTTACACACCGCATTTTAGGAAAGAAACATCCACCTCCATCCACTGCCATATATCAAGTTGATAAATCGTACTCGACCTCTGGTCTGGTTTATTTTAAGATAAGGGCTACTTACATTACACTTTACCATGCCACATAACCTCATTTCCTTGGGCAAGAAAAAAAAAATATGTTCCTTGAGAAGCTCAGGTATGATCCAAATATCAAGGGCTCTTGAACTTTACTATGAACACTCCTCCTGAAAAAAAGTTTACATTTCCTGATCTTTGACTTAGAAGGATTTGGGGATCTCCTTAGAAACGAGCTTCAATTCCAAAGCAAATAATGAAGACCTTACCTTCATCACAGAAGGATCTGTCTTCTTGAGTGAGGACTTAAATACAGAGGCCAAGGGCAATCTGAAGAGAGTTGGAACTCGGCCAGCAAAGGGTAAGATCTTTGTAAGACCTTGGAACAACTCTTGGGCATGGGGAATAAAGTACTCCTCAGGAGCGGAGATGCAATTTTCAAAAGGTGGTTGTAACTATGCAGCCACTGAAAAGAATGCAGTTAAGCCCAAAAGTACTAACACGAAAGGCTGCTCACCATATATTTTTATGTTAAAGAAAGTTATAAAATCCTGTACTTCTAAATATGCCATCCAATTACAAATAGTCACATGATTACATATGTGTACCAAAAGTCTGTCCGTAGCAGTTACCCTTGGAGAGAAGCTTTGGAGGGTGGAAGCTCAGGAAGGAAATGAGGAAGTTTTCAGTTTCCCTGTTTGCTTCTGTTCTGTTTTCATTTTTGCATTAGTTTGGGGGTTTTTGTTGTTTTGTTTTTGCTTGTATGTGTTTTAACAGCGTTACTGAAGTGTAATTTACATAGCATAAAATTCACCTGTATTAAGTGTACAATGATTTTTAGTCATTAACGAATCTGTGTTCTTAGTTTTCCAGTTTTTATATACTTCTGTGTTGTTTAAGTTGTATATGATTACAATTGTTTTTCAACTGTTTCTCTTAGGACTCTCAAGTGTGTATTTACCTCAATAATAAACGACAAGTATGTTCAGATATTGCTTGGAATTGCTATTTTTGTCTCACATTCTCTGGTCCAAATGCCTCGCTCAATGTTATCATTCCTAAATTTTCCAGCTGAAGTCCTTTGCCATTCGGGCATATTCAAAAAGACAGCTTCTCATCCTCATCATTAAAAACCAGACAAAGACATTTAGATAACTTTTCTTCTTCTATTGTCAGTGGGTTCCACACATCCTTCTAAAATTACTAGATCGATAGTCACGAGAATCAAATTTGGCCTAATTACAATCTTTTTCCTTTCGGGCATTTATAAATAAAACCTCTACCACAACACTTTTACCCCAAATCAAAGCAGAATTCAGGAAAATGTGACTTACCAGTTCATACATGAAATCTGGATCTGAACTGTTTGCTAAGAGATCTGTGCTCATCAGAGTCTGTTCCGAAAAGGTGTGGCTTCGAAAGGCATCCCCAAAAGGCGGATCCATTCCGCTTACACTAGGCTGCGAGAGAGCGATTTTAATTGTTGACGTTAAAGTCTACTTCAAGGCCAATTTATTACACCTATGCCCTACCCCACGTCTACGAACTAACAATATCTTCAGAGAACAATTCTGTGTTTTTTCTACTGTTTAGTACTTTTAAGAGATTTAACTAGCATTAAACTGTGGACTTGTATTAGGAAAACAACTAAGCTGTATAAAAACAGAAGAAGAAATAGAGAGGCAACTGTTAACAATACCCCTAACCTCTAAAAATTAAGCTTATTTAGCCATGAGTCAGCATACAGTACCTAATGAGTATTTTTATTTGGCGCTGTATATTCTTTCAATCCATCTCTAACTACACTCTCTGTTCTAACTCCTGTAGTAGAGAATTCCCTGCCATTTGCTGGGATTCACAGAGGTAGCAGGTCAGTCTAACTCTGTACTCCTAAATGAGTCCAATGTCTTATTTCCCAAAACAAGCTGGAAGACAATTTGGGCATCTCTAGTCCAGAAAATGCCTCCAGGCACGTAATGGAGACAGACAGGATCTGCCAAATACTCAAAAATCTCCTGGGTGGGACCAGAACTTGGAGTTGAGCTCAGTAGCCTTAATCCTGATCCCTGAAAAGGGTAAAATTCATTCTATAATAAGTAAGAAAGGGCAAAAAGACTAGGCACCCAGAGTCAATCCACTGAAATCGAACTTGCATGGAGAAAGAAGATGACAAAGAATAAAAATTCTCTCTTTGCTTCCTTGTGTATGGGCTTCTGTGTATGAACGAGGGAGAGGCTGAGGCCCCTCATCATTTCCACTTACTTACTTTTAAATTCAATAGGCGTGAATGGGAAGGGACAACTGGGAAACAGTAAGAAGAGAGAGAAGATGGAAATCGGCTTTCTGTGGCATATTAATTTTCAGGGGAGTTGGTTTAGCCCCCATAAAGCCAGCAGATCTATCCACCAACTTTTCATTCACCATGTTCCCTGTGTCAAACTCATTAAACTTCAGAGCCCTACGTAGCAAAGGAGGAAAGAGAAGCAGTGGAAGGGAGGACAAGTATTCAAAACCAGCTGAGATCAGAAGTCAAATATCTTCAAAAGGTAGTATGTCAAGCTGTTAAGAGTCAGAGCACTTACAGAACCAATGGTACTGACTTTCCGCGGTGGGAAAATAAAAAACCTCGCGCCTGCTCTGTGGGATTTACCTGAGGCATTTCCAAGCCCAGATCCTTTGAGTCCGATCCCAAACTTCTTTTTTTTCTTGTTTGTAAATTCCTTTCCAGCTTTACTTTTAATTTCCAGATCAAAGATGATTTTCACAATAAATGGCAGGTTTCCCCGGAATGCCTTCAATTCAACTGCTTGGATCAATGCTTTTTTTTTTTAAATAATTCTGTGTGAATCTGTCAAACAACAACACAAAGGAACTTCACTGAAAACCATTAAGAACAAGTTGACCTTTCGAAAATGACATTAACAAAGAATACTTTAAAGGAGTAAGTCTTGTGCTTGCAATATTAAGGATTCGGTCCTTTTTCAGCACCAACTATTCAGAAAGTCTCCATTCCTCCCTTTATTTGCTTCTAAAACAGGACTGATCAATAAGCAATTGCAACATTAAACAAAAAACCTGAAAAATCAACACAGGCCCATCTTTCCTGCGATCTGAAAGATGTATTATAGTTACTGGTAAAGCTCCCATTCACTTTATGAGAAACCACAGTCTCTGCTTTTAATTCCATCTATCAGAGAATCATGACTGCTAAATTAATCTACATTTTATATCACTCATAAATCTACAAGAACAACAAATATATAGTAGTGAACGATGGAATTTAACATATCCTCTACATTAAATAAAATCGCATTCATAATAGTCTATGTAACATTATCCTTTGAGTCGTAAGTGAAAGCTGTCCTTGAAGTAAGAATTATTCCAGTAAGGTCTTAGACATGTATATGCTGAGGGGGAAACAGGGACAAGGACTACTTTGCAGAGTGTTCTAAGGGTTAAACACTGATTGCCAATCACTGGGCGCAGGGTCTTGACTGTGGTAGAGACTTACATTTTAGTTCCCTTTTCCCTCTTCTGTGAAGGCCTTAATCGATAGGAACTAAACAGCTATACCCATTTCATCATCTTTGAATAGATCGGTGGTCCTCAAAATGTGATCCCAGGACCAGAAGCATCAGCATCAACCTGGAAAGCTGTTAGAAGTACAAAAGCTTGGACCCCGGCCCAGACCTACTCACGCAGAAACTCGGGGAGTGGGGCCCCGTTATGTGTTTTAACAAGCCCTCTAGGGGACACTGACCCTTCCTAATAGCTGAGAATCGCTGCCTACACTGAACTCCTTGCTCTCGCTCAGTGTTCTTTCCCAAACTGATGTAAAGAGCCGACTTAAGCTGAGCTGCCTTCTGTAGTTAACACATTCTTTGGGCTAGAAGGTTAGAGTGGCACATTATTTTAATTTCAAAGATCTCTTGTTGAACGAATAAGAGGTAGTCAACAAGGGACTCAATCATTGTTCTACTTAATAAGATTAATAAACTGACTACCATTTGTATTTCCTGGATCTTCGCTGGGCTCTCCCCTCTGGTGGGTTGTCATTCTGAGCTCCCGTTCTAGCCCAGGAAACATCATCGAGTGCCCAGCCTGGGCCCAGAAACAGAATTAACTATGCATCTCAAGCCAGCGCTGCAGTCTAAGTGGATTCATCCCTGCTCCCACCGAAGGCCAGTCCTGGTGGAGCTTCTCCTTACGGGGCCTCATGCCTTGGTCCTACTGCTGATATGCAGTCTCAGTCCTAACTCCTCTCGATTCCGGTGAGAAACAAGGTTGGTTGCCTTCTCTAGGCCTACTCAGACCCCCAAAAGGCATATGATTCAAGTAACGCATTCGACAGTGTCCCAGTGTAATCTTGGTCTATAATCTGGATCTGGGAGAAAAGTCTGATATTCTAAAACTTGAAACTTACCCTTACTAGCAACGGAGTTAAAGACTCAAGAAGAGATTGAGTTCTATTCAATACATATGTATTGGCATCCACTAAAGACACGGTCTACCAACAGCCTGGTTTAATAGGGAAGCTCTGACAAAAAAGGACTAAATGCTAGCTACAGCTCTCATCCGCAAACTACGCAACACTGGGTAGGTAGGTCAATCTTTCTAAGCCCCATTTTTCTCATCTCTCAAATTTTCTATGTCATAACACTTCCATACAAATACAAGCATTGATTTTAAATTGTATTAAACACTTAGCCTCAAAGCAAACTTCAGTCAATGCAGTTAGCAAAAAGGGCACTTGCTTGAGATACGGAAGACCTGGATTCCAATTTTGATCCCATAATTAAGACTAAACAGACTTATGAATTAGAGCAAGTTACTCAAATTTTTGCCTTAGATCCCAGATTGAGGAATTACAATTATTCTCCCTTAACTGTATAATACGGATGTATATAATAGAGAATTAAATGAGACAGACATTAAGATGCAGTTAATAAATCTGAAAGGTGGTTATTATCAATAGCTATATTTTGCCAATGCCACAGAGAGTCCAGCTCAGAAACTCAACATCTGTGACAGTTGCTGGCAGCAAGGCTGAACGTTTCAAAGACACCACTCCCAAGAGAGGGCATCCACCACGGTAAGGGTTGAGCTTGTTCACCTGGGATAGTTAAGGGTCCTCAGTTGCTTCTCCTAGTCTCTCAGGTAGCAGCGCACAGGAGGGAGGGAGGGCGAACTCCACCCCAAGCAGCAGGATTCTTCCCTGATAACCAAACTCCACCAGTCTCTAAAACTAATGACCCGAGTTCACAACAAACTAACCTCATCCCCAATGTTTTGCACCCATTTCTCAGAAATGCTTGGTATCATTCCAAACATATATTAAGAAACAACCACGAAGAACAAAATACCCCACCCAGAAGAGGAAGAAAAAAATTAAGGCTTCTAGAGCAATTACCATTACATGGAATCTTCCATAACGATACACTACTCCAAAACTATCTCCTGTTCCGGGGAGACACAGACAAAGGGTACACTAATGCTTAATGGCCAGGTAACAGAGGAGGAAGGCGTTAACAACTTATTTTACTCAAAGCTTTGATATTTAAGTACATAAAAAGCGATAGTTTAATTTTCTCATGTGTGACCTGAGGAATATTTGTTCCAAGGAATGTTAGATGGTTACTCAACAAAAGGGTTGCGAGGTTTGGAAAACACAGTATTAAACAAAACTGTTATACTGCCTTTACGCAGAACTTCTTGGAAATTTTAAGGTGCGAGGTACGAATGCCTGTTGTTAATCACCAACAGGTGAACAGAATAGATGTCATTTCCCAAATTTATTTGATAATAAAATCCTCCACTCTGCCTTCAAACTGACCTTAAGATTAGTGTTACTTAAAAAAACAAAAAACTCCAACTATGGGAAAGGCTAAATGATTTCCCCTTACTTACTTTTATTCACAGCTCCCACTCACCAGTTCCAATTGTTTGTCAAGGGAGAGAAGACTGTGCTCCATCAGAAATAATAGTTATCAACAGATTTTCTGTATCAGGGCTCATTCAAAACTACTCCGCAGCAAGTCTTAGGCACAGGCAGATACTCTGGAACAGAGAACCAGCTCTCTGGAGCAATGCCATGGGGCAATGATTGATTTACGAGCAGCAGTGGTACCACTTGAAGACACCGGAGCTTCAATCTCTTTCACAGCCCTTTCTGCCAGGTCCTCCCTAGGTTTTTTTTGGGTCTCAGTTTGAAAATATCCTGAGGCTTATTATGCACATCAGGCAAGGCAAAGGTAAAGTAAGAGGATAAGGACGAAGGACTTCTTACAAAAGCCCCTCCCTGGGACTGCTCAAATCATTAATCCAAATGCTAAAAGCCAACCCCAGGAGCAGACTGGTGCGCCCTCGGCAGCTCACACACATCCAAGAGCTCCTAAACTATGCCCCTTCTGAACCTGAGGGCTTCAGCTGATCCCTGCGAGTCCACATGTAGAAAGAAGTTGGCATCTGGAAAATGTGTCATGGATGAGCAGAACTGTATCTGATGGCCAGAATCCCTGAAGCTCCCCTTCTGCAGGGCCCTGGCTTAGGCCATTGCTTCTTTTAGTAACTGGCGAGGATCGGCTCCTCACAATGGTGAACGGCACTTCTAAGTCACCCAACGTTCTTCAGAGTAGATGTTGGAAGTATTTTGACAACACCCATTGGGATGGCTATTATTAAAAAAACCCAACAACAACAGAAAATAACAAGTGTTGGCGAGGATATGAAAAATTGGAACCCTTGCGCATTGCTGGTTGGAATCATAAAATGATGCAGCTGGGAAATGGTTTAGCAATTCCTCGAAAAGTTACACACATATATATAATTACTATATGATTCAGCAATTCCATGCCTGGATATATACCTCAAAGAACTGAAAGCAGGGACTCAAACAGATATATGTACACCCACGTTCGTAAGAGCATTATTCACGATAGCCAAAAGGTAGAAAGAACCTTAGCGGCCCTCAGCAGATGAATGGATAAACTAAATGTGGTGCACACATACGACAAAATATTATTCAGCCATGAAAAGGAATGAGATTCTGACACGTGCTACATCATGGATGAACCATGAAAACATTATGCTGTGTGAAATAAACCAGACACAAAAGGACAAGTATCATATGATTTCACTTATATGACGTAACAGATTAGGCAAATTAAGAAAGCTAGAAAGTAGCATAGAGGTTAGCAGAGGTTGGGAGAGTTAGTATTGAATGGGAACAGAGTTTCTATTTGGGATGATGAAAATGTTCTAGAAACAGACAGTGGTGACAGTTACATGGGATTGCCTATATGATTAATGTCACTGAATTGTACACTTTAACATGGTTTAAGTGGAAATGTTTATGTTTATTTTACCAAAATGAAAAATATTTAAACATTTTTTTGAGGTAAGAAATGCCAACACATTTATTCTGTTAGGTAATTCATATGCCGTGGTTTGATCTTTCCTAATCTCTGCTGGTTGGTTCATGCTCACTGTTTCTTTTATGTGGGCTGAGTTCTTGGGTTCTCTCTCTGTTGTCTTTAAACTGTACCAGATCCACAATTCTAAGGTGTGGTAACTGTCCTGACCCCTAATTTAAATAAATCATTTTCGAGGCTTAAGCCCTTAGTAAAGCTAAAAGAAAGGAAAGAAAGGGGAGAGAGGGAAGGGAGACAGGAGGGAGAGGAGAAAAAGATGGAGAAAGGAAGGACCACCGACGTGGTAATTTAAAAGTTTATACCGTGTGTAAACCCATGGGACTCCCGTTTGGCAAGAAAGACAGGTCACTCGTCTGCCCAGGCTCCTTAGCAGACCAGGGCCCAGCCCCACCCACCATGCATTCCGTCCACTCTGCTATACTTCTTATGTCGCACTCAGTAATTCCTCTCCTTTTGAAAACTACTCAGCAAAAGTTGAACTAATCGGTCCTTCCAACGCTTACTAAATCAGGCCACTGCATTTTTCATGGTGCAGCAGAAGTCAGAGAGCCCCAAATCCCCACACCATTGAGGAAGCAGAGGCTGCCTATGCAAGGAACACACCCCAGGAGAGGTGGGGCCCGCTGTTCTCTCCTTAATATGTCATGTAAATCCTAGGAATAGAACTGCAGGTGAATAGCTATTCTCCACCCTTCGACAGCAATTCTCTGATTCCAAAATTTAGGAAACAGGCAAATAAGCTTTAAACTAGCTGGTTATAGTTTATGTCAGGAATTATTAGCAAAAGATCTGCATTATTTTTCCAAATCCTGCTGCTGCTGGTCTTTAAGGAGGGAAAATAGGGCGAAGAGGAGAGTAAGGAGGGAGAAGACATATCTTTTCCCCCGATGGGGTGAGGAAGGGCATTTTCCTAGCCTACAGCACTTATCGTGACCTTATGAGCAGCTGTGACCCTTCTGCCATCCTGCCTAGGGAACTCTGTCCCTGGGTCAGCGCGACAGTCTCCTTTCATCCTCACACTTGAGAGTTTAAAAAATAGGGGGGTTGAATTAGGTTTGCCGCAAAAATTAATTGAACGAAGTTATTAAAACCACATTTTACTGAGACTCCTGTGGAGCTAAGATACTAAATCTCAGAACTGCTCTCTCCTTGGAATGCTGTCTTGGAGGAAGACACAAGATGACCATGCAGAATTTTACTCCTTTCCAAAGGCTTCGTCTAACTTTAATCTTTGGGAGAGACAACACAGGGGAGCTTCGTAAAACACTTTGGGAACCAATAAGACCATTAAAGCATGTTTCTGGATCAATGTGAGTTGAACGAGAAGAGCTACTTTTTATTTCTGAACACTGTCAACTACACGATAGTAGGGGCTTTCTGCAGCCTTGATACCTGTCGATTAAGTTGTTCAGAGCACAAGAATAAGAGCACTGGACAGTTTTAGACATAAGCAAAGAACACATTTCTAACCCCAGCCACACTTGATTACCACTGGCAACAAAATATTCAGTTTATATTCATGTAGTTGTTTAGAGTTTACAAAGCATATTGCTATCCCTGCCATATCAGAAACAACGTGGTGAAGGAGTTAGTGTAAGTATTAGCATCGTTACCATCCCCTACCCTCTGCCCAACCGTTTCGCATTAATAAAAAAAGTTCAGCAAGGATAAGAGATCTGTCTGAGGTCATTCGGTAAATGGATGCCTCTGTGCAAACCTATCATCCCAGAGACCACCTTTACTCCCCGTGCCTCAGGCACCTTCATCCTAAACACGCGTGTGCACGTGCCCTTCCATGTTCACTCACATCCTGTGACCTCAGACGTAACATGCCATCTCCCCATCCAAACGTTACTATTCTGCCAAGAGTACCAAAACTCTCAGACATCCAGGGACAGAATGCTGATCTCGGCCTTGACTCTTCTCGCTCCTCCCCATTCACTTCGTTAAATCATGCCAATTCTCTTTAATAAAAATATACTGACAACTTCCCTTGCGGCGAAGGGAAGTTCTGTTTGACTTGGCCCTTCCCACTTTTTCAACCCTCACTTGGACCTCATCGTTTTCTATTTACCATTCCAATATTTACCCTACAGATCTTCCTGCCTCCAGCCTCTCCCTCACGCTCCAGTTCCTATGCCCCATTATAAATTATTCTCCCCAAACCACCATGTCATACTAGCACTGCGCCTATAATTTTCCAGTAACCCCCAAACATCTCTCGGATAATATTCAAGATACTCAGACACAATGAAACTGTCTTTCCAACTGCATCTTCCACTACTCTTCTATAAATATAACATTAATATTCATCTGATCGTAAAATTTCCCCCCAAATCTTTCAGGCACTTACAATCCCACTTCACTCCACTAAGGACCTCCGACAGTGAGACCCTGGCCTTTCTGGCCCTTGCTTACATTTTTCCTCTCCCTAACCCCTTGCCTTCGCTACCAGATTGTAAAGATTGTAAAACCTTTGAGAATGACCATTATATTTCATGTTTATTTCATTACAGTGCCAAAAACAATGCCCTGGCCAGCACAGGCATCCAGACAAAAGCTGAATGACAGTGAATGGGAAATCCCGAGACCACAAGTCCTCTGGATAAGGAGTCAGAGGTGCGATGTTCTTCGTATACAAAGAGGACATTACAAAGAAGTCATCATTTAATATATGTTTATTGAGCATCTTTTATGTGCTCCGAAGTATCTTGTAGCAGCTTGTTAATATGTATCGTGAACCACTGTAGTATCATACAGTAAAAATATTTAAAACTGTACTCCCCAATTTTCTTTTAAATATCCAGGAAGAGTGCTGTTTGAATTTGTCAGTTTGAAAAATCTGAGAAAATTCTTGTCTAGGGAGGAGAGGGCAGAGGAAGGAGTAAGGATTAAAACATTCAATGAATCCAGGCACTGGACTGATACATGTTACGCTATTTTCTCTCTCTGTCTCTGTCTCTCAAGTTAAGATTGGAGTTTTAAACAATCATTTCCTTTTCTGAGATGTTCTGCAGAAATCTACAAAATTAAAAAGGGAACAGCATGATTAAAGGCAGCAGCATAAAAACAGACAGCAGTGCAGGCACCATCACACTGGAGCCACACAGCAGGATTCCAGGGAAACACCCACCAAGGGACACTCTGGGACAGACCCTAATGACTTCTGTGGTGCTGTTGTTAAGGGTCTGGGCTCTTCCTTAGGACGGACCATCTCCTCCGTCCTTTCTCAGATTTAGCATTTTTCAAACGTACCATGATACAGACTAGAGACAATTTTGAAATTCCCTTCAAATTCCTTCCGAATCTGTGAAATGGGCTATGCCACCAGCACAGGACTACAGAACAGATGGTCCGAAGGTTATGTGCACAGGGCTACGACGAGATTCTGAATATAGTGCTGAAGTCATTTCTTTGAACACTGAGAAAGGCTGGCTGCCTGTTGGACTCTAACGCTCCTATAAGGCTTGCTCTATGAGACGCGAACTGTAGATTCAAGAGTAAAAGTTTTCCTTTATAAGTGGATGTTTGGAACTTCATTCAAAATTCTCGCTTGCCTTCTTTTATTTGTAAATACAGGAATTCTTCTTATTCTGCAGGGATACTGTGATTCATGATAACGTAGAGTATCCAGCCCTGACACAAAACAGAAACGCAAGAAATGGTGGCTTCCTTCCTTGGTGTAAGATGTTCCTGGGACGTTGCTGCTACCTAAGGTATAAACCCAAAGTCACCTCAGAATCCTAGATTGTCTAAATTCCACACTTAATTAGCACAAAAACCCAAATGCCTGGAACGAGGGTGAATAAGGGACACGCAGGCACACAGGTCATTTAACGCCCTTGCCGTGGCTTTATGAGGGTGAATGTCAATTATGCCGGTTTAATCAACAAAAGAATCTTTAGGTTCACAAAGTAATTCATAAAGCTGCAAACCAGTAATCTCTCTACAGAACTGACAGATACCTTCGAGGGGAATGGCTTCTTCAGAGAGATGACTGCTCTTATTGTTCAAACAATTACAGACGTTTTATCCCTCTTTTATACTTAGTTACTGTACTGGCTTCACCACAGATTCTAGGCAACTCAAGGAAATGGACTTACATAAAATTTATCTTTGCATCTGTAATACCTTAGAAAGTTTCTAACACACACACAGAGACAGAGAGAGAGGGACAGACAGACAGAGAGAGAGCATGAGAGAGAAAGAGATATTGATCTATGCCATACTTGTCTCAACAGGGTTCTGAATAAATCAAACAAAGCAGGTGACTACCCCAACTGCTGGGAAAACAGCTTGGAACAGAATCAGCAGCTATCAGAGAAGAAGAAAGTGGAACAAGAACCTGGCCCCACCCTCCCATTAGACATTCAGAATTCTGATATCCCTCCAATCTGTGGAAAGAATAAAATCCATTTACAGTAATTCATTAATTTTTAACTTAGGAGTTTGGACAACCAGCAAATTATTATGCTAATGTATAAAACAAAGGTAACACAGTCCTAACAAGTTCACTCCACCAGGAATATGTACATTTTAAAAGAAAAGACAAAATTAGCTGAAGATTTAAAGCAAAGGTCTCAAACTGTACTGTAGCCACAAATCAATGCCTCCATTTGGGTTTTGGTCAGTCCACACATTAGTGTTTCTAAAAAGTTAAATTTTAACTACCAGCATTTAAGTTGGAAATTTCATATAAAATTTCTAAACTCCGTTATCAAATTCGATGCTCTTAGAGAAAAAAGAGTAGACCTGACAATACTGGGTACATATTCCCGATAAGATCACTTGAACTGAAGTCCAAGTTATCCCTTTAAAATGGCCTGTCTATCCATTTGCTCCAATCTCTATCCAGTCCCATTTCACAGCTAGAGAATCTAAGCTTAGACAAGTCTCAAAACCACAGAGCTAGCAAAAAGCCTGTTTGTGAATATAGCTAACAAACTCCAGGACTTTCACTCCTAACCATTCTGCAACCTGACCTCCAAATGAAAGGTAGTTAATATTAAAAGAGGTATTTAACAGCCCTGTACATGAAGTTTATAGCAGCTCTATTCACAATAGCCTAAAATCTGGAAAGAACCCAAATATCCATTGACTAGTAAATGGATAGACAAATTGTGGTATATCCACACAATAACAAATACTCAACTGATACTCAAAACGACATGAATACATCGCAAAAGGATTTTAAGTAAAAGCAGCCAGACTCAAAAGACAACACAGCCTATGACTGCATTAACATGAAATTTCAGAAAAGACGAAACTATAGAGATGAATAAATCAGCGCTTGGAGCCAGGGGTGCAGGAGCGGGTGAGGACGCTTTCTGCAGCGATGGGCATGTCCCTTCCGAGTCGTGACTGCAGAAGTGGTTGGATGACTGTATACATTTGTCAGAACTAAAAACTGGGTGACTTTTATTTTATGTAAATTATACCACGGTAAAGCTGATTTTTAAAAGAGGAGCTTGGAAAATTCCATAAAACTACAGAGAACAGTACTACCGTCTCTACCTGGGAATGTTTAGGAAAGCTTTGAGAAAGGTGAGATCTGAATTGGATCTCATCACAGAACAACTTTCAAGCGCATAAGAAGTAGAGAACGGCATATAAGTAGTCATGTTCTGCACTGTAGCCTATGAAAAGTAGTATCTCTGAATACAAAGGAAAATGCTTCATAAAAGGAAATGCACAGAGACGGATGACGAGTACTTGGACAGGTATCAAAGACAAGCTGATCTTACAAGATTTCCCAAAAGGGAATCAACTCAGACATATAATGCTGTTCATATGCAAAATAAGCAGATAGTGTGAAAGTTTTGTTTTCTTTTTGCATAAAGCAAAAGGAAAAAGATGAGTCAAAAAAGAAAAAGGGGGAAAAAACCCAAAGGAAATAAAGGTAGGGATGGCGGCAAGGAGGTGAAATAAAGACAAGGGACACTCCAGGTCAGGACCAAAGGTACCCTGCTACCGAAATTAGAAGAGAGAAGAAGGGAGGTGTTTCAGACCTTGACGAGGGACTTAAAGTAAAACTAAAAAGTAGGGGGAAAGAGACCTACCAAAGTCAGAGCTACAGAGAAAAGAGACTGGAGACCGGACGGCAGGCCCAGAAGAATTCCAGGGCAAGGGGAAAGCAAGAACGTTCTCTCTTAAATCTCACAAAGCAGACTCCTCCCCTTGCATCTACTCCCAACCCTGGCCCCGCCTTACTTGAAGGCTTCTTGTACCCATCCCTGAACCCCTTTGACACCTCCCTGACGGGCTAGAACGCTTCCTTCACTGGTCTCCAAAACCCAGTTCAAATGCCACCTTTTCTGTGAAGCGTCTCAGGCAGAGTTAATAGTCCTCTTTATTTTCAGAACATGTTCTAAATATTCTCAAAATGTTGAACTGCAATGTTGAACTGTCTCCTCTACTAGCCGATGGGCAACTCTAATAGAGGACTCGATAGTAAGAATGAAAACTCTTATTAAAAAGCAGTTCAAAAAACCGTAAAGCCCACCTCATCTCATAAAACACAAGAAGGATCCTAGAAACCTTGCTTGAAGGGATTCTACAGTGATTCTTCTGAACAAGAGTATGACCCACCCTACCCCACTCCCCAGTTCTTTTCCGTACCATCAAGGATCTTTTTTGAAGCTTGATATCTGTGATGCTTTAAAATTTCTCAGTGAATGGCCAACACAGAGAAGGCAAATTGCATCAGGAATGGTGGGCAGCAGTCAAAGAAGAAACTTCCTCTATAAAAATAAAAGGAGCACCTTAAACTCTCAAAGACGGAGGAGTTTACTGAATAAAATAAGTGTACAAGAACCTGAAGAAAAGTGGAATGAGACAAGAAGTCGGCAAGCTTATGAAGCTTTCATAGGAAACCATCAAAGTCAACAATACCCAAAGATAAATGAGTGACAACATGATTTTGTAACAAAAGATGTAAAAGTGGTTTTAGTGTTACAGGGACAGAATGATGGGATGATAGAGTTGCTGGGAATAAGCAGGGAGACGCTGGCTTAGGAAGCTGTTTGGGAAAGAAAACTCCAATATAGATTGTGGAAGAAAGGTCATGAGCTGGTGAAAGGCACACCAGGCTTGGCTGGCGACGGGAGGGGTAGTACTACAGTCACAAAGCACCACTGAGGTCCCCTGCATGGAACGCCAAGTCCAGCCTTCTCCAACAGGGTGAATCAGAATCATCGGTGAGAATTTTACAGTGCTTCCCCTCAAAAGGGACCCTGATGTGTAGCTGAACAATCACCTCAAACCTCAGAGAAATAAAGAGATTTCACTCACATTTGTCAAACACCCAGAGACCAAGTGTGCAAAGAGCTAAAGACAAATCCAAAGGACGAGGTTTTTTCTGTGTCTTGAAGGGAGTATTCGACAAGTCTAACTAATGGAATTTATCTGGAAAAAAGTTAGCAAAATAATTCAAGGTATTTTTAGGCGTCATTAAAATAGCTTCCATATAAACTTTCTTAAAAGGGTCAATTTTTAAATGAAAGCTTTTTATTTGAGCAGATGGTGATTAATTCCTCCCTTTCAACTAAGAAAAGCCAAGCCTCTTTACTAATAGCAGATTGACTTTATTACCTTCAAGATAAGCAGTTTTTAACATCATTTATTTAAACAGTTCAGAAGCACTAAAAAGTGTCAGCCACAGTGGGAGGCACTGGGGATATAAGAAATAAAAGGCTGACTCTGACCTTAAGGAACTCACCTGTTAAATGGGTAGAGAAATACTGTAGTGTGGATCACATGCTAAAAAGATTAGCACTGTAACGAAATAAAGCTAAGAGAAAACAGAATCCAGATTTGAGAGGTGCATGAAGTGCAAGCAGCATGAAGTATAAGCAGCCTGAAGAATTAGCATATTCAAAGTGCAAGAGCTTGAGAACACAATAACAATTTCCCAATATCCCTCTGTGAAATATAAAACATCATTAATCGCTACCATTAGAAATTAATAAACTGCAGTCACCCAGCCAAACAGTAAGTTAACTAGAAATGGAAACAAGGTGATACAGTTTTAAGAGGTTGGTATGTTCACCTTTCTAAACTTTCAGCCTTGCACTTGAAATCCGGCTCATGTCAACAAAACTAGTGAAATATTACATTAAAACAAAGACGAAAGCTGCCCATGAAAATCTTATTTGCCTTTGTAATATATTTAGGTTATGGCGTCTCTGCTTCAGTGGGCACTTAGCACCACTTGACATTTTCCAAGGAAGGAGGGAGGCGTGACCTGTATCTTTTTGGGTCTTGTTTGAAAAAGTATCCTACCCTATTTAAGTAATTCTGCAAACATCTCAGGCACTGGCATAATTAATGTAGCTTCCAAATTAACTGTATGACACACACACACACATACGCTAAGTGTGTTGACTAGTGTAACATCTCTTGAAACAGCTATACACAGTTTTGTAAGGAATGATACGCTAGATGCACTTTTAAACCTCAAAAGGGCCCTACCCTTGAGTATATTAAGGTTCTTAGGTATCATATCTTAAAGCCGAACTTTTTCAATCGGAATGCATTTCTTCATAGAACTTAATATTCCAACATTTGCTTTATATTTCTTCAGGAAAACATCTATTTGCAAATGAAATAAAAACAGAATACAATGTTGCCATGTGCTCTTCTAATTCTAGAAATTCTTCACGGCAGGAGGTATGTACATTATACGCAATTGCTCAAATACTAGTTCGAGTACATGTTTATGTAGTCTGAAATATCTGAACATCCGTACTCAAAACCCAGTGACTGATGTCCTGGAAGAGGGGCTGACAAACTACAGCCTTCGACCACAGGCTGTTCTTGTAAAAACAAAGTTTTATTGGAATATATCCCCAAACATATTGTCTATGGCTGTTTTCAAGCTACAGTTTGCAGAGTTGAGTCATTGTGACAGAGGCTATATGGACTACAAAGCCTAAATATTTACGACGTGACCCTGTGCAGAAGAAGTCTGTTGACCCCTATCTTAGAATCATTGGAACCAGTGCTATGACAAATCTATGCCTAGCCTAAGTAAGAGCTTATCTACTCTGGAAGATGAACTGAATACGGTGAAGAAGAATTCTTCACAAAAACATCCAAGGAGAAACCCACATGGAAAAACCTCTGCTGATTCATCCGAAGTCATAGTAACTGTCAATCGTGACTAAAAACTAAACTTTAATAACAAACAGCTCTCTTAATGTTTTAAAAACTGCTGCGTTAATAGAATCAACACATAAGTTCGTTGTACTTTTATTGTCACTTGTACCTTAACCACTACTAGGAATCATACTAGCTATTCCTTTACTCCTTACACTGGCATCCAAGAACCCACGTGAATGAACTAGTAAACTAAGTAGAACATAGTCTTCGTAAAAGTTTGTTTTCATCTGCCATGACAGACATAGAATGGGATGGTAGGTGGCACATCCAAAATCTCTTCTCGATGTATTTAGCCTCTTCTATGCTTACAAGCTTAAAAACCCCAAGCCTGCTCTCAGTCATAAAAAAGAATTACGCCAAAATAAATCCTGTTAGATCTATCTGCCATTATTAGAATAAGCGAAAAAACAAGCTAATATTTCTATCTGTTATTAAAGTTACATTTAAGAACTGAAGTCTATCAAATAAACAGGGAATATATATTCACATGTCAATATTAACAAAACTGTGAGTCAATTATGCCAAAATAGAGATCGATAAGTCATTTATTTACAATTATTATTTTTTTCTCGTTACCAAAATGAGATAATGCAAATACCTAAATAAATACAATCAACTCTTGAACACCCCTTGCATGATTTATCTAAGGCATGTTCCTTCCCCTAAGTGCTTAACCAAAGGTGCATCAACAAGCTGGTACCCTGGACAATACCAATGCAGTCACAGGTTGCAAGCCGATGTTAACATAAAGCTAAATCAAGCATTTCATAAGGCCGACATGATGCCAAAACAACCACAAAACAACTAAAGTAAAAGTAAAATTAGTGATTCTGTAACTACTCGTACCATTTCCTCCCTCATCTCTGGTGTTTCTCCTATTTTGGATTAAAAGACAACAGGAAAAAAATATTTAAAGTACAATCAAGTAAGTGACAACCAGTTTATCATATCATAAGATTTACAAAGCCTTATTTTCCGCTTTATAAAAAGTAAGTCAGATCGTGATCCTATTTCTCACCTGCAGGGTATTTCGCAAGACAAAGTCCTAAAGAACCTTCAAACCTAAATAATTTTCTCAAGGCTCAGTTTTCTCATGAAGTTCATTTATGTGAGCTATCAATCAATGTGAGGAGGGGCAAACTATGCCTAGGGCAGCACGGGCTGGGGGTGATCTTTAGAATGTATCTTGATGAAAAAATGGAAACCCCGCCGAGCCCTTAACTTTCTCCGCTTTTCTAGTCCTGGTTTTCTCCGTGCAAAATCCAGAAAAGCAGAACTTCCTACTCCCTGCTTGCCTCTATCTGAGGCCTGGTGCAGAAATTCAGACCGCTAGTTATCCAAGTACCTTCTTAAGGTTGTCTTAAGGCTCAAGCCCGCTCAGAAACAGCAAAAGGTTTGCTTTCTTGGATTAAAGGAAGGCAATTACAGAGTTTGGCGGCCAGGTTTGTCAGGAAGCGTAGGGCCGAGAAAGAGGGAGAATCCAGAGACTGAGCTCCATCAAGTCCCAGGAACCACCCCCAGGGGCGGCTGGACTGTCCTCGGTACTTCCCTGCCTCCTCTGCTCGGGTGGAGAGAGCGGCAGGTCGGGACGAGGCTTTCTGAGCTACTTTCCGGGACGACTGGACTCGCCTTCGGACACCCGAAGCGCCCCCGGCCCGGTTCCCTCGCCCTTTGCCCTGTCTCCCCCTTTCTCAGGGACCCACAGCCACCGGTCCCCTCCCATCTAACATGGCCGCGCCACCCGGCCCACCCCCGGCACAGCCTAACCAATTGGGGGGCCGGGGCGCCGCCTCCTCCACGCCCATTGGCGAGGCTGCTCTGGTCTGCCTGCCCCATTGGACGGCACAGCCTGCCACTCCGCGCTGAGAGCTCCGCCTCCGAGCCGCTTCAAGCTACTTTGAGAAGACATATAAACAAATCCCGGGAGGGAGGCCCCTCTTGCCTGTCGCTGGGGCGGGGACGGGAAAGGGGAGCGGCTACTCCCGAGACACCCCTGCCCGGACCCCCCAACCCCCAACTCGCGCCTCCCCGTCTCCTGCCAGCCGGGTTCTAACCTTCGTGGCTCCGGCCCTTTACTCACACGCCCCTCTCTCTCCTCCTCCCCCGCCAGCCTCGCCTCCCCTCCCTTCCCCGGCCCCTCCCACCCGCTAGCTGCTCTGACAGGCCGGTTGCC